AAAATATATGTAGATACTAGTCTGTTTTATCATTTATACCATAAAATGCACACAAATCTTTCATAAAAAGTTAAAATTTATCAAAACCTATGCACACACTTACAGACCATATAGTGCAATTTGCAGTCAAGAGAAATGTAAACAAATGTAAAAATGCAGTATTAAATAACTGAATAAAATTCACTGTAGTACACTCTGTATTACTGTAAAAATTTCCTAGCCACTTCCTCTTGCCACTGGGGTGAGCTCAAGTGTTACAAGTATCTGATTAAAATGCCATGTTGCTTGGCTTCATGCCTGTAATCCTAGCATTCTGGGAGGTCAAAGTGGGAGGATTGCTTGAGGCCAGGAGTTCCAGACCATCTGAACAAGAGCTAGACCCTGTATCTACAAAAAACAGAAAAATCAGCCAGGTGTAGTGGCATGCACCTGTAGTCCCAGCTACTTGGGAGGCTGAGGCAGGAGGATCACCTGACCCTGGGATTTCGATGTTGAAGTGAGCTATCATGATGCCACTGTACTCTAGCCCAGGCAACAGAGCAAGACTCTGTCTCACAAAAAAAAAAAAAAAGGCCATGTGGTCTTAATTATCTCCAAGTGAGCAGTTTGTCTCTTTAGTAAATTGAGTACTGCAATAAAAAGTAATCTATCTTGAGTCTTGCATATTTTTCATTGTGTTTAGTACAATACCATAACATCATGGGACACATACAAAGTGCCACTAGTGATGCTGAAGTGCTCCCAAGAAGCAAAGTCATAACATTACAAGAAAAAGATATTACAGATTGAGGTCTGCAACTACAGTTGCCCGCCATTTCAGATAATTCATCTTATGAACAGAGGATGTAAGATTACAGTACCAATTAATACGGTGCAGTACTGTAAATGTATCTTCTCTTCCTTATGATTTTCTTGACATTTTCTTTTCTCTAGCTTACTTTATTGTAAAAACTCAGCACAGGTGACCCTTGAACCACTCAGGTTTGAACTGCACCGGTCCACTTATCTGGTTTTTTCAACTAAATTCAGATCGAAAATACAGTATTTGCAAGAGGCAAAGCCCAAGTATATGGAAGGCCAATTTTTCATATACATGCGGCCTCTGCAGGGCTGACTGCAGGACTGGAGCATGCACAGATTTTGGCATACATGGGGGTCCTGGAGCCAATCCCCTGCGTATACTGACAGATGACTATATATAATACATGTAACATACAAAATACATCTTAATCAAGTTGTTTATGTTATCAGTAAGGTTTCTGGTCAACAGTAGGCTATTAGTGGCTAAGTTTTCGGGGAATCAAAAAGTTATATGTGGCCGGGCGCGGTGGCTCACGCCTGTAATCCTAGCTCTCTGGGAGGCCGAGGCGGGTGGATTGTTTGAGCTCAGGAGTTCGAAACCAGCCTGAGAA